ATGCCTGTGCATTATTGTCATTGATTCCCACTTTAGAGAAGGACATTGCTATGGAGCAGTAAGAGCTGCCTCCATTTGGCAGGGCAATATGCCAAGTACTGTAATCTTGCCCTGCTGTAGAGAAGAGGTCTAAAAGACTGTTGGCAACTCCAAGGTGTAAGCTGTGTGACCGGTGTCTGTCAGTGGGATGTCCGAAAGCATGGCCTGTGACCCAGGATCCTGCCAGGCTCTGCCAGCAGCCTTCTACAGTGAGGCTGTCTCACCCATTCCCTCAAGCGGCAGCCTCAAGAGTTGGGGGTTTTTATGGGACTCTGTTGAAGCCCTCACAGAAGACAAAGGTCTGTTGCATCTCTGTCTTTAATGATCTTTTGTTACACAGTATGGTTATTGCTGTTGGTATGGACACTGTACTCCCAAACACATGAAGTTTAATTATGTAGCTGCTTAGTTTTGTGTCAAAACTCCTGGTTAAGATGCTCATCAACCTAAACATGCAGGTAATCAGTGTCTACATAATCACACTGCTCACAGAAAGTAGACTCTGTGAGATTAAGAATATGGTGAGTGTGTATAACGTAATATAGTAAGAATAAAAAAAGTCTACTTTGGTTTCACGCTTCACCTTTTCTCTCCTACCTTGGAAGAAGTACTGTCTACATTCCTAATACATATTCTAATGCTGATTTTTCCCATCAGGCAAAGTTACTTCCTGCTCTAATAATGTACAAATTAATCCATTCCAGTGCAAAACTAGATATTATATTGCAGAGAGGCAAAATCATGGGTCGCTGAATGTTTTAATGTGAAATTCAATAATAAAGAAATAGCATATTGTAATTTTATCCCAGAGGAGCTGACTTTGAAAACTTCATTCTTGAGTATTTAAATAAAGTTTTTAATGTTATTTTAAAATGTGATTAAAATTTAATATATCATCTGGCATATCGTTACAGTGCCTGATCTCAGTGATCTTATGAGATTTTAACAGGCTGAAAATGCTGCCAAGCTCCAGCTGTAAATCTTCCATCGTATTTCAAAATGTGCCACTCTGCTCCAAGCGTGTAGAACTGTTCTCTGAAGCTATATTATATATTTATTTGTACTCAAGACCTGCTAGTCATTTCCATTGGAGTGTGGTGCCCAATATTCGGTTAAAATATTCTTTTTGGTATATGTTTAAGAAGAAACAACAATAAGACAGTTTAAATCAGAAAGAATGCATTTAACTTTGAAGGTAGAATACTGGTGTTACATAGCTAAGGAATGCAAAGTATTTACATATTGTCTTACTGTCTGAAAAACAACCTCACTTATGCCTAAGGGGGGAAAAATAGCATGAATTAAACTTCAGAAAGGACTATCCTCTCCACGTATACCATCTCTCTCTACAGATTGTCTAATTTGATGCGAACATTGGTCCAGGAAGACTGAAGTCAGTGGCAAAAGGGAAATCGGTTATCTTGACACTATCTGATAAACACAATTGCTGTATGGTTCTCCCCCAAAATATCTGTGTATATCCAAATATCCAAAGTATCTATAGTTCTCTCCAAAAATAGCCATTATCAGAGGAATTTTCTTGTGTTGGCTTGAAACTATGGTGCCTTGTTGCTGAGTTTGAAATTTGAAACAGCACTTCCTCCTCACATTTCTGTTCTTTAAGGAGAAAACCTCATGGATACTGCTGGGGGGGCAGGGGCTCAGCACTGATAATTAGCAGTGCATTTCATGGATTTGCTATTTAATAAATCCCTCATCTCCATTTCCAGTGAAAGTCCTCTCGAGAAGAATAGGTGTTCGTTGGGGTTTGAATGCATTCAGCACATTTTAGGAGGGCCTCAGCACCATTTGGAAGAATACAAGAGGAATCTATCCCTTTTTTGATAATGGGTGTATATCTTCATGGTGCTAGGTGCATCCTATGAATGATGATTTACCTCTCTTTGAAGTGAAATTTAAAACTACTGAGAAGTTCATGAAAACCACTCAAATTTGTATGAAATCACACCCCCTTAAGGCTGTGTAGGAAGGTGGACTGATAAACCCCAGGTCCGATAAATGGCAGAACTGGCATGGCACTCAGGATTTACTCCCGTCATTACTGTACTTCCTTTGGTGTACAACACCTGCAGGGCTCTTCACTCATTCCTTATTTACTTTCAGCCAGCACCTTGCAGGAGCAGAAGCTCCTGCTTACTCTAGGTCTGTCAGAAAGCCTGTCATTTCTGTCAAGTTACTCAGGGTGTATGTTAGCTCTGGGTAGTTAGGAAGAGAGTAAAGCCACAAAAGCCTTCTTACAGTAAAAGACAATGCACTAATCTTGCAAACAAAAGCAAAAGTGAAAAGAGCCTGTCCCCGACTTAATTTCTCTGCTTGTTTTTTTCTTGGGTGTCTCATAGAAATGCTAAGGTTTCTGAGTGGCTGCACATGCGCAGTTAGTAGCTTGAGTAATGTCAGTTGATTCAGCCCCCTCCACCTCCATTTTCACCCCACCCAAATCACAAGTGATCCTAAAAGAAATTTAAAATGTTACCGATATATAGTGAAACTGAGAAATAATGCAGTAACTGAAGTACATACATGTAATGGTCGGTAGCTCTAGGAGCAAGACTGAGACTTTGTCTCAGTTTTTACTTTACTGTGGAATTCAGAGGCATGGCATGCTTTCTTTTTTTTTTTTAGTAAGATGTGCAAGGGTTTTGTTCTGCAAGGAAATACTTGAATGTGTTTCTGGGTACAGATATGGCTGAACTTTAAAATAGCTGAAAAACCTTGAATAGTCCCAGCAAATAGCTGGATTAGCCTTCATCTCCCATAGATTTTGGTAGCTGAAGAGCTGTCCCTTTCTTTGTTTATCAATATTTTGGAAGTATGAAAATGTTGACATTGAAGTACAGGTCTTCAATTTCATTTTTAATCTTTTTAAATCTTTTAAAAAAAGATGAATCTTTAGGTATGGTGATATTAACAGGAGAAGTTTGAGGCATGCTACTATCAGGGCCTGGGTCCGCAGTCTCTCTCGGGACCCAGGTGGCCCTAAGGATACCGCTGTGGCTCCAGACCTGCTCTGCTTAACAGAGCGCGAAGCTGTGGTGACAGAGCCCTCGCTCCAGGGGACTGGGCCATGTCCAGGGCTCCAGCCAAGTGCTGCCCCTTCCCCAGGGCAGCCCCTGCCGGCAGCGTCCTTGCCTGGACACCCAGTGAAAAACCACAGGCTTCTGGCAGCAGGGATGGAGAAGCTGTCTTTGCCAAACTGGGTAGTGGAGTTTTCTCTTACATAGGGCAGGCAACTCCACTGGTCTTCCCCAGCTCCTTTAAAGCAATTTTACTCTGCTTATGCAAGAGACTGTGGGCAAAGCAAATAAAATAATTAATCCATAAATGCTTAGAGCAGGTTTTGTGTACATATATGCAAATGCATGCATAAAAAGACATATACACATAATTATATGAAGGAATATCTACATCTCTTTCATTTTATACTATAGGTAAATGCTATTTCAAAATTATAGATGTTAAAGGGATCCTTGATATAAACATTCCTTAGCCAAAAGGTTCAGCTTACTTAAATAGGAATATTTATAGAAGTGAGAGCTTGAGCATCAAGTCCAAATATAAAGTAGTTTTATTTTGCAGTCTTCAGTATTTAAATATAAATAATAATTAGCATACAGCTACCATCTGTAAAATACATCTAAGAATGGAATAAATCTTAATATATATTTTAAGAGTGGCCAGGATGGCTTACCTAAGGAAGATGGCTCATAATGAATATTTTGAGTTTCCTCTATACTGTGAAATTTTTTATTTAGGAAAATCTCTCCATTAAGTCTGATGAAGAACTGTCACTTTCTTATGCATAGGAATGCAGCAGGCTAATACAGTTAAATGTATACATATGTAGTTAAGCTACTGGTAGCACAACTTCTATTTTCTCTCACACCTTAAACAACCCCAAATTTGTAATGCCTGCTGTAGGTAACTTAATGAATAAGATTGCTTAACACGAGCAGATTAAATAGCAATTTAACTGATGGCCACAAACAGAGCTTAGAGTTTGTCATGGCTACAAAGATTTTCTGTCAGGGGACAAAAGCAATTAATCAGTATGCAGAAGGTACTGCCTGCCCCATAGAGATGCTAATTTTGTGGCACTTTGGAAACTGATGTTCTACATTTACTGTTCACGCTAGATGGAAGCTAACCAGCCTTAGTTTGAGCGAGTGGAATGAAAAGACTGCAAAATGTCACATTTTCTTACCCCCATGCAGCCTAATTTTGAGATCTTTAGTTTCTTTCTGTAAGTTGTTTGACAACCACAGAGCTGATTGAATATCATGAAACACAATTGTCCTAAAGACTGGAAAGTTGTATTTATACAGAATTGCTGTAGCCAGTTTATCTGCAGAAAATAAAGGGCCTATCACTTTCCTACTCAAGTGTTTTTTGAAAATGACAAAAAAAACCCAACAACCAATTAAAGAAATTGTAGTATAGCCGAACAAAGATCACATGTTTCAACATATTATCACTGCTGATTTTTATTTTTATTTTTTTTTCTTTTCTTCCCCTGCCCCCCACCCCGTGAAGTGCTGTAAAAAATATCTATATGCATAGTTTACACATAGCAGACATATTTAGATAGAATATTCTAATACAGATACTGTTAACAGTAGCTGTTTGAAAGTTTAGGTATTCTTCCCTGCTTACTCTAAGTTAGGATGTAATATGGAAAAAAACTCAAACACTAAATAATACAGCAATTTCAACAATTTGTGACCACAAAGTGTTCTGGAAAAACAAGCAAAGCAGAGCAGCTACTACTGTTTTTTTTATCCCTAGCCCTCTCTTTAAAAGGGGTCTCTGCAGACGCTTTGTTTTAGAGCCCTCGGAGGGCCCAGGCAACCTGGTGTAACCCATTGCACCCCTACGGCTGTACCCAACCCATCGCCCCATCAATCCCCACACCGAGTGGGGGGCACACAGCTGCCCCGACTCACCCAGCGCCGCGTCGCAGATGAGCTGCTGGGGGTGAGCAGGGGCACAGCTGCACCCCTCGGTCACCCCCAGGAGTCGGGAGGCCAGGAGCAGGAGGATGGGGAACAGCAGGGTGCTCGGTACAGGATTCATGTTGCCTTGAGCACAGCGAGTTGGTCAGCCAAGAGAAAATGCTGTCGCCTTGCTGTTGGGTTTGGAGCTGAACGTCCGACAGAGTGGCTGGATCCTTCTGCGTGCGGTTGGATTTCAGGAGCCAGGGCTGGTTTAGGAAATCCCTCCAGTGCTCGTGGAGAGCACACGTGTATGTTAGCTGCCTTCTCCTTTCCCTGACATAGGACCCTCTTATTTATGGCCCTGGCACTAACTCCTAACTCCGCCTTCCTTTAAGGAAAAAGCACATCATTGGGGAAAGTTGTACGCGACGAGGGGTTACCTTAGTAAGCATTGCACTGTTGCTGTTCTGAGTCAGGAGAGCTATTAATAATCAAAAGCCTTTACAAAAACAGGTTTTACAATTATCTGAAGCTGATTTTATGAGCTTTAGGGGAAGAAAGATTTTATCTTTCTCTAGTAAATTTCCTCCCAGTTTGAATTTAAAAACTAGTTCTGCTACCTTCTCTATTTTGGTCAGTAAAGAAAGCTGTCCTTTTTTAAGCTCTGTTTTCATCTGCAGTCCCTGATCTTCCCCTGCATTTCTGTGCGTTTTCTTGAAATGACGTCCCTGTTCACAGGCTGGACAGAACTTCATTCATGAAAAGGAAATGTTTCAATGCTCTATTTGTGAGCCTTGAACAATTGGTAGTTAAGGGAATAATGAATTAAAAATAAAAGCAGCAATAAAAGGCTTTTTAAAAAATTATTTCGTCACAGATTTAATTTAAAATAACAAGGCAAAATATACCAGTGGTGTATGCTGGAGGCATGGCTCTCCCTGCATTCCTTATTAATGTAAGTCCTAATCAACACAGATCTCCATCTGTATTTTATGGCTCATGTTATACATGGAACACAGACATAAATACAGGAGTTCAGAAATCCTTTTCAACTTCAGATCTTCTGTTGCTGTAGCAATCTGGATATGTGTAACGTGCGTACACACTCTTTTTATAAAGAAGTTGTTTCATGATGGAGCAACAAGGTTTGATTAGAGAGTAATAATATATATCTATAGATTGGCACGCAGGGCAGGACTGCTTAAAGGGTTGTGTGTTTTGTCAATTCACAAAGCAAGCTTAGGAATTGAAAATTCAGTAACACAATTTGAAATGTTTCAATCCAAATGCAAGGAAATGTATTTTGCTGAGGCTGAGATTTAGGTATACACAAAGTAGTTTGTTATCTTTATATAGATGTGTGCATGTCTTACAGCAGCATATTTGTTTTAGTTTTGAACAGTAAGAGGTCGGTTTTACAACTATTAGTGCTCTGATTCTTCTTTTATTTTCCCCTCCCACTG